TTCTGGGAGTTGAAGTCCACCAGTCATAAAAGAGCCAAGGTTGCCTACCCCTGGGTTAAACGGTGTGTGTGTGACAAAAAATGGGTCGATCCATACACAGATGGATCATGCAGGGAGGGTGGAAGCCATGGGGGTCCCGGGGGGGATTGTGGGGGGTGTTGGTCGGGTCTGCCTCCACTCACCACTTTCTCCGGGCAGTTCACCCGCGGTGTCCGGACCTGGAACTCGGAGGGAGGGGCCGGGGCCAGCCAGGTCTTGCCGTTGGGGGCCTGGACGGCAGAGCTGGGGGGGCTGGTGGTGGTGCTGGCTGCCTCCCCCTCCCCTTCGCTTCGACTGCCCACGCTGGCCTGCAGGCTGAGGGTGCGGTCCTCGGCCCCCTCCGGGTTGGACCGCGTCCTGGGTCGCTGCTCGGAGGCCATTTTCTCCTCCTCCTCTTCCTCCGTCGTGCTGTTGGTCTCCGAGGTGTCCATCCAGGTCCCACCGGCTGGGGGCGAGTCCAGGATTGCCGGATGCCCACCGGGAGAGTGACACAATTGGGAGGGGGGGTTTCTGACGATCCTCCCTTTGGGGAACAGATACAGCAAAGAGATTGTAAACATGTACAATTCTATACATATTTGTTTAGTGCAGGGGTAGGCAACCTTGGCTCTTTTATGACTCGTGGACTTCAACTCCCAGAATTCCTGAGCCAGCACAGCTGGCTCAGGAATTCTGGGAGTTGAAGTCCACGAGTCATAAAAGAGCCAAGGTTGCCTACCCCTGGTCTAGTGCAAACATTATTCCAAAAGGTACATATTTGTAATACATTTATATGATATTTACATCATTTTTTTCTCGCTCATATTTCCTTTTTGTTAAACATTTTTTTCCTCTTCCCCCCCCCATTTCAGAACGTAATGTAACCCCACCACTATTATCTTTGTGTTTTGTTCCTTTCTTCCTCTTTTTTTTTTTTGTTATTAATTATAAACACAACCTCAGACAGGCACAGAAATGGGAGTTCAGAGTGCGACTGCTTTCATGGAAGTTTTCAAGCTTGCCAACTTTAATTGTGAATTTATTAAATTATTAAATTATTATTAGAACAATTAACCAGTGGAACCACCTGCCTCCAGAAGCAGTGAATGCTCCAACACTGGAAGTTTTGAAGAAGAGACTGGACAGCCATTTGTCCGAAATGGTATAGGGTTTCCTGCCTGAGCAGGGGGTTGGACTAGATGACCTCCAAGGTCCCTTCCAACTTTATTATTATTATTATTATTGTGGATCATCGCACAGTCAGCCAGATGTTCAGACTGGATTTGGCATTTTGTCTACCTATCGAGTCCTTTCCCAGGACCTGGGATAGGCAGATGTGGATGTTTGATGGTATTACAGATCTCGTCGCAGGACGGAAGCGGTTCCTAGTAAGGCCGCCTTTTGCAATTGACTAATAGCGAATTTGTCAATGCCGATGATGGTGTTCAAGTGGTGCTCCGGCTGTTTTGGGATTGCACCCAAGGCCCCTATTACTATTGGTACTACCCTTGCTTGCCTTTGCCACAGTCTTTCTATTTCATTATTATTATTATTATTATTATTATTATTATTATTATTATTATTATTATTATTATTATTATTATTATTATTATTATTATTATTATTATTATTATTTTATATGCTGCCCATCTAAAAATGGCATTAAATAAAGGCTCTTCTTGAATTCTGGGGAGGGTGGAAGCCCACCCCTTTTCAAAGGGTCAGGGTTCAAAACCGCTGATCCAAGGCAACTTGGCTTCCAGATCTGTAGCCCCTCCCGATTAGGCTTTCCATGCTGGTTGGGCATTCTGGGAACTGGTGCTCCACCACCACAACCCTCAACAGGCAGAAGTCACAACTGGCAACTGTGCAAGACTCAGGAGTTCAGGCCAATTGGGCCTGCCCATTGTCTAATCCAGGGGTCTCCAACTCGGCCACTTTAAAACTTGTGGACTTCAACTCCCAGAATTCCCCAGCCAGCTCTGCTGGCTGGGGAATTCTGGGAGTTGAAGTCCACAAGTCTTAAAAGTGGCCAAGACCCCAGATGAGACTTTTCGGGGTCTTCAGATGCACTTTCTCCATTTAGGGATCCCCGTTAGCCCCTCGACTGCATCCCTCCTCCTTAAGAGAGGCAGGATGAGGAAGGGGCGACACAGAGCAAGGCTCTTTTGCCGCCCCCACCC